TTATGGAGCAGAGAAAACCATCCACCTTGACCATCCTTGTCAAGCAGTCTGCATATTTGAAACTTGGCTTTTGCTACAGGTGAAGACTTGACCTGGCAAGTAAAGATCAAAAGGAAGAAAAAGAGAATTCAAAATGGGATTTGTCTGTACAATGCAGAAGTTGGAAACATGTCTTGAATGACAGAGAAATGGGAATCTGCTTTAAATCGTGGAGAAAACTTTGGTAAGCGTGGAACAAAGAATCCCATTAAAGGAGAGGACTTTAAGGAGTTAGGCTACAATTCATGAAAGGGATGGAAGCTGATATATTTAGTACAAGAACAATGTCCACATGCATGATTTAATGCATTCTTAAACTTAGCTAAATGAAAAGTCTTTTCCCAGAGAAGTTTTTTTTTTTGAGGAATTTTCCCAGAGAAGTTACTAGCATGATATTTGTAGCCTTGGTCTAAGTAAAAGAAAATAAGATAAGGGGCAAAGTTGACATTTAATTGTTCATAGTCTAGAGTATTTTGTTTTTTTTCTAAAGGCTACAAACCTTTGCACTTTTTTTTTAATTTTGTTTATGAAATGTTATTATAAAACAGAAGAATAAACTTATAAGCTCCAGTTTCCAAACTTTCAACATCAATCTTTTTGGCTACATTATGTTTCATAGGTACTTTGAAAGGATATTGCGTTTAACAAGACAAAATAAGCAAGTCTTTAATATTTTTTTCCTTTACATAATCCAAAAATCAAAACTGAACTTTTCCTTGGAAATGACATGAACATCTTAGTAGAAATATAGAATGCGCTACATTTTTGTTCTTTTATGCTGTAGAACGCATCATATATTTGTAATATTTCAATAAACTCGAGACATAGTTTAAAACTACGAAAAATATGGAGATTTAACGGTATTTTGATTAAAGAAAATGTGTATCTTATACATCATGTGACGAGAAATAAATGGATAAGCTACCAGCTTAAAGAATCGTCATGAACCCTAATTGCAAGAAATAAATGTATGGATTACCTTTTTCTTTTTATATGATTACAGGTAATCCACAATTAATGTAAGATCAATGTATGAATTACTAGTTTACTACCTCATAGCATCGTAATGAAAGCCCTTCATTTGCAATGTAAGAATAACAAATGTCTCTTTTGTGTCAATTAATAGAGACAAGACTTAAAACCATGTCTCGACATTGATGTACAATATAGAGTCTAAGACCATATGTGTTACTTGAATAGTGAATTATTCCTTCAAAAAAAATAGTGAATTATTTATGAAAATTTATTTGTTTGTATTATTAACATATTTTTTATCTTACATACATCACATCAAAAAAATATTACAGTATATTTTTCAAAAAATTATCCTAAATAATCTATTATCCAAACAGGACTTATTTCTTGGCAAATTACTAAGGCGGGCAAATGGGTCCTTGCAAGTTGATAATGAAATGAAAGACAACCCAGTAAGGAGTACAATTTCCAAAAGTGGTTGTGAAAGATCTTTTGTTCTTTTTCTAGAAATACACAAGAAGCAAAATTTTCTTTTTGATTTGACACCATTTTGGATGAGATTATCTTTTCCCCATCATTCGCCCCACGATTGTATTGTAGAATAGCCTGAATTAAATTCAAATACTCAAACTGTAGAATACAATCTAGACTCTTGTATACTACACACGCACATATATTAGTATTACATCACATAATTATATTATTTCAAAATATTTTTTTGTCAAATTTAGATCGTCAACATCATAATACAATGTTCGTCTTATTTCATTTGGTTTGGACAATAGTTTTTAGAACACATGATTTAAAAGTCATAAATGTAAAAATTTTCAAACTTTTCTGAATTATGAGGTTAATTTATAGCTTAAAATTCAGAGAAACAAATACTAAGACCATTTTGTTTTGTCAAATTTATTTTATTTTCATAATATCATTACATTTATTAAATCACAAGGTTGTAATGTATTATATACACAACAACAATGTTAAGTTGAAACAAAAAGATGCACAAGCCAAACGTGGAGCGGTAAACAACATAGATAATTAGTAGTAAAGTAAAGATTTAAATTGTCAGGGTAAAATATCAAAAAAATCCCTGTGATTTGTTAAATATTCAATTTAACTCTCTCTAATTTAAAAAACTACACTATAGCTTTTTATGATTTCAACTAAATTGAAAATTGGACGGAAAACATCAAATCTAACGGTTGAGCGTGAATTGTCAATATTGCCGCGATATAAATGAATTCCCTGTATAACATGTCATAATATCAAAAGCCCTCGTATACCCAATCCCAATCCCAAGTTGATGAGGATTAAATGACTAATCCAAATTAAGTTGGAAATTTCCTTATTTTTTTTTACCGATCACCAATTATAACTTTAAGAGCAAATCCCAATCCCATGTTGATGAGGATTGGACGACTAAACCAAATTAAGTTGGAAATTTCTTTTTTTCTTTTTTATTTATCGGTCACTGAGCATAACTTTAAGAAGAGACAGTTAAGTTAGGTGATAAAGTATAAGGGATTGTAAATAGAGATTTAGGATTTAAGATCTGTCTCTTAAAAAAAGGCATAAATCTAGAAAGAGACAAATTATAAATCTAGAACGAGACAAATTATTTACATTTATTCGCTATAGTATCCCCCCGCCCTTCCCCACCCCCAATCCCCTTCCAAGGAAAAGTCGTTATTATACTTCTTGACATTTTGAATATGTGTAGTTGTTATTCTTCTGAACTAGTATTTGTTTTCCAAGGAACATCTCACTTAAATAATTTGGGCAACTACCATTCTTTTGGCTTATATTTGCTGATTTTAATAGTAGATTGTTTCTTTTAGCCCCGAGTACTAGAACTTTTTCTCTTCGCTTGTTTTTCTTTTCTTTGCCCATGACTAATCAATTCTCTGATTTTGCATAAGGTTGACTTGAGTTTTTGTGGACCCTAATGCTTGACTTTGATTTTTATAGACACTAGTGCTTTGACTTCAACCCCTTGTTGCTCATCTGTAGCATTAGCACTAATATTTGGTGGTTGGATCTTAGGCCACAATATTGGAATTCCAGGTTGCTTTTCATACTTGGTTAATTTTTTTTCTCAATTTTTAATGTAAGTAAAAAGTTTTAAATTCGAAACATTCCACTTGCACTCATTTACCTGTATCAGTCAATTCATCTCTCTTCTTATTTTTCCCCTTTTTAATTACTTAAACTAGAGAATAATACGGTACATGTAATCTAGAAATAACACTACTATTTACAATCTATACTTGAGCACCTCCAGTTTATGCTCAAGGGCTTGATTTTTTTTTTTTTTTTCAAAACTTGGATAGTGCATGTGCTCTTGATGGAAAGTAGGATAAGAAAGCAAAAAGTATAAAAATTTATATTATTATTTTAAAAAGTATTCATAAGTTGGTTTTTCATTGAATGAAATTCCACAGTAAACTGCCCTTTTTTTATGTAGTTCTTGATCTTATTAGTCATGATTTTTTTTTTATTTTCAAAATTAAGTGTTCATTTTTGTATCATTTTTGTTACTTTTAACATTTTTTATTTGCTTTGCTAATGGATTTTCTATTGTTTTCTTTTCTTAAAATTACTATAAGCGAAGGATTGTTTATGGAATCAGGGCATATTATGATAAATAAGGAAAAAAAAAGGTTTTTTTTTTCAGGATACATTGTATATTGAAGACTAGTTACTTGTTCTATTGGATTCTATGGCCTAAACCCCCCAAGGTATTCAACTTTTGTGGCTGTCGGATTCTATGGCCTTAAACCCCCCAAGGATTTCGACTTTAAGCTGTTAAGTCTTTGTGTTCATTGCAGGGTATTTCTCAATAACGCATGGTGGTTCACTAAGTACGTTCATTTTACCAAGAGATTTAGCTCAGTGATACTAAAGTCATCTCCAAAACTATGAGGTCAAGTTCGAGTTTCAATAGAGCCAATGTTAATAACAATACTAATAATAATAATTAAAAAAAAATCGTATCACAACAAAAAAAACCCACATGGACCACCACAACGACAACATATTTTAATATAGAATGCATGAGTTTTTTTAATTTAATTTTCTTCAAATTATTTTGTTTAAGATAATTGGCCTTTCGGAGTCCACCAAGTTATTTTACAATCTAGTGAGTTTGTTTTTAACTTATAAAATTATACGTGAAAAATTATACCCTAAGCAACATATAATTTATACGATCAGATACAAACTAAATAATGGTTTGTCTCCTTAATTTTAGAAATTTCTATGCTTATATATATATTACTTAAACATGTCGTCATTTTCAGTCAATTTTTGTAGGTGAACTCAAAATTTAATTTGGTAGAATCACTTTCGTGTTTGAAAGTTTACAAGCACGAGTTAATTGATAATCAAATTCTATAGGTTCGAATTGGTACAGTATTAAACGCTTGAAAATTTATTCCTCTTCTAGGAATGGGGGAGGAGCCCAGCTAGGACATTTTGTTTGGGTTATACGGGTCCTAAACTGGGCTAGTTTTATCAACTTTTATTCTGTACCCTAATAAGGATGGGCCTAACTAAGACAGACGTTTGCCCATTCAAGCAAGAAAAAACCAGTCTAGTTGCAAGTGTGCTGCAATCTACTTTCCAAGTAGGCCTAAACATAATATAGAAAAAATTACACCCCACAAAAAAAGAGTAGACTGCCTACAAAATCAGTAAAAGTTCCAAAAATTTGGACTCCATATATATATATGGATAAATTTTATATACTAACAATGTATACATTATTACTATTAGATCCTTGACGCATATTCAAAAGTTGAATTTCAAATCTAAATTTTGCATAGTTATCATTTATCCAAAACTGACAGTGTATACACTGTCAGTGTAGGAAATATTAATCTTACATATGTATATCTATGTATGTATGTATGTATATATGTATGTATGTGTATTCACCCAACCAGCAATTTTCATCCATAAGTTCTCATTTAGATGCTTGTGTATTGCACATTGATCCAATTATTTGAAATAAGAATGCGTATAAGCTGTCTCCATGAAAATATCCTGGAAATGACATTGCTTGACAAATCCCTTTTACAATTTTGTGACATGCACAAAAAGCGAATGTGACTTGTTAAATCTATTACAAATGGCTTGCTTTTCAGGAGCATTCATCAGCTCTGCAGTACCATTTAACAAGTTGAATAGATTTTGATGAAAAAGTTGCAAGATCAATCAGAAAGCTTTGAGAAACTGAGCCTTCTGAGCTGATCAGTAATAGGAGAAGACCATCCTTTCTCAGAATTCCCACATTTTAGATCCACAATTTCGACTATTCGAGTTTTTCGCCTCTCTTGACAGCCTGTGGCTGGAGTTCTTTCCAGAGAAATGTCTTCTGATTCCAACATAGGAATGGATTGAGCAGATGGACTTTGATGATGAACTTTCTTTCGACTGCTTATTCCTGATGATATTCTTTTATCACTGCTTAAATTGCTGCTTTTGCAACCAGTACTAGTGCTGTTTCTCTGATCAGATTTAGTCTTCTTGACTTGTACTGATCTTTTTCTTTTCTCACAACAGTAGACTGAAACTGGCACAGTAGCATTGGTAGGTCTTCTTTTAGAAGACACGGAATCCAACTCTTGCATCATGAGAACTCTTACTTTGCCAATGCTTCCAACACCAAATGTTGGCTCTTCACATTCCTTATTAAGCCTCCTAGTTTGAGCCATTTCCTTCATAGCTGCAGATTTCTTGCTTTGAAGCAAAAGCTTCAGGCGAACTCCAGATGGGATTGATCTCAATGTTCTGAAAAAGAGCAGAGTTACTAATATAAGAGAAAGATGCAGTTTGACTAATGAAACAGTTATCAGCAGATTGTTGATTAGAAACTTCACATCAGAAACTGGGAATCAGCACAAATCAAATTACCTAAAGAGGATTGACAAAACTCAGGACATATAAGAACATCAAATAGCAAGAAATTGTATCTGTCTAAAGCACATGGTCTAAGTTGATCAAACAATTCTTCAGAAATATAAGAAAAAGAAGTTAATAAAACAAGAGAAGGATGCAACTAGTATGTACCAGGAGGATGGAGAATCCAAAAGCTGGTGGGTTCACTGTGGTGCAGAGGAATGGCTTGGAAAAGGGCATTAAAAAGCAATTCTTGGACCTTTCTAAATCCCAAAATTATTAGAGGACAAAATGGGAGAAAAATTTGGAATCATTACGTTTGGCTTTTGACAACCTTAAAATATTTGTTGCAGGCAATCAAGGGAACGTTTATTAGGGGACCGACAAGTCCGGTGAACACTTGGTCAAAACCAATTCCTATTGTATTAAATCTACTTATAATTGGATGAGTTTCAAGAAGAGAAATGATATTTTCACTTTAAAGTACTCCTCTGGCACTCCACTTTTCTTCACATATAAAAAGTTAGGTTGGAATGACACGAGAATACTCGGAGTGCAAATATCTTTTTTTTTTTTTTTTAGCAAAAGAGGGATAGGATTTAAAAAACCAGAGGGACATTTAATTTTTGAGTTTTCAATTTTATTCACTAAACAAGGTCTTCTCCACTGGAGTGCAAATATCACTTGCTTTTGAGAGAATAAAAGATGAAAAAGTGTGTGCTTGGAGAACTTATTTTCAAAAAGGTTATATGTTCAGCTTTTTTTTTTTAAGAGTGCTCGAAATTAATTATAATTAGCAATATACACTTTGGATAAAGCCATTACAAATGTTTATGAAATTACTTATCATAAATATTTTCTTCATGAATTAGCCTATACAAGAGTTTTCACTTTGTTAGCTTTTTGTGGATATTATTTTACTTGATTGTAGACTGTCGAACAAAGACCTTTGTAGGCATGAATTAATTAAGGTTCAATCTGATGAAATTTTCGCCACGAATGGTTGAGCCGACTAATTAGTGTTAATCCATTAATTCTTGAACAGCGACAAATACCAGCTCAGGAATATGGCGTAATGAGCTGGAGAGTGGGCGCAGGGCAGTTGACTAGTACCTTATAGATGGGGCCATATCTCAGATGCTAACTTTGATTAATTCTTAGGTTGCATTAATCTAATTCATGAACCCATGTGAAAGTGAGCAAGGATTGTTGTTAATATTTTGCATTAATCTAATTCATTTAAAGAGAAAATGATTAGAACCTTTCCCTTAAAATTTGTGACCTTGTCCTACATAAGGGGAATCAATTGTAATAACTCAAATTACGTACATTTCTCTTGTGATAATTATGTTAACTTTGAGTGCTTAGGGATGCTCATGAAAGTACACACAAAAATCACTAGGGATTGTCCGATGGTTAGAGAAGGATTATTAGAGTCTTTCTTATTATCAAATTCAAGATTCAAATCCTAGAAAGGGTATAAGAAGGGGTGGGAGGGTTAAAAAAAAAAGAGTACATATGAATTTTGGATGATAAAATATCTGATGATGAAGTAAATTGAAGAATTGAAGTTATTTATTTTGATCCAGTGTATCGTTTTAGAATGATAAACTGATCACAAGTATTTTAAGGTCTACATAAACACCCCCCCCCCCCAAAAAAAATACACCAGCATGAGCCTTCTTTAGTGTTAAAAAATGGGTCATTTTAAGGTTAATAATTTTACCTCTATTTTATTTTGCACACAAAAATGAAAAATAAAAATTAAATAAAAAGGACCTTAAGTTTGTTGCTTCCCTTTCTTTCCATCACATTCAAAATAATAACTTTCTCCAACTTTCCCCCAACTGATGCATCCGTTGTCTTAAGTTTTTTTTTTTTACACGACTTTCCTTTTTTTTTCAAAAATGTTTTTCTAGTAGGAAAAGGGTGGGATTTACCATTAAGAAACAGGAGGGATAGAGAAATTAGAATCCGGAACCTCTATTTTTAGGATTTTAATTTTGGCAATTAGACCAAAGCCTCGTTGACGAAATATATTATATTTGTTTTTTTTTCTAATAGTAGAAGAACTTGAATTCAGAACTTCTTACGTACAATCTCTTCTTCCTTAATTACCACCCAATCTAACCCTACCCCAATAAAATTGTCTTAAGTAAGTCACACAAAAAAGTGTGCCAAAATAACACAATATATGTAATAGAAACTTCACTTTGTTATCCAATTTTGTTCTCGACGTAGCATTTCAATTGGATGGATGCGATTATGTTGATATTGTCACATATTATGGCAAAATTTAGGTAGGGACCTATTTGAGTTCATATTGCTACGACGTCCGGTAAGGCTTTGTCCCACCTTTTCTGTTTTACTTAAGAAAAAAATGAATAATGTGGCTCGCCACAAATGAATAGTAGGCCTTTTTGCTTTTTTTTTTAAAATTTTTTTTGCAATAGGGGGAGAGTAGGATTTAAGAAATAGGGAGAGAGTAGGAAGATCAAAACCTAAAATCTCTATGTTTTGGAGTTTCAATTTTAACCATTGGACCAAGACCTTTTTGACATAAACTAAGCTCCTTTGGTTCTATGGATGCTTGAAATAATTTGTCTTTTCCATATTATTTTGTATTTACGCCAATAGCCTCTTGGGCTGTTGGTTAAAGCCTTGGTGTTATAGGTAGGAGGCAAGGATTGGCTGCCACTTTCTAGTAACTACCTCCGACGGGGTTCTCGGCCCGTTAGGCTTCCTATCCTCTTAAATTAGGTTAAAATATGTTATATTAATGCTATCGTTGCGACAAAAAAATAATATATATTTACAGTTGGTAAAAAAAATCCTTTATTTGAGGAACAATTTAATCCATCCACATGATGTTCTTACTCTTCAATTTTCTGCTTAGGTTTATCATGTATTTTTGGTCCGAATGCTACATGGAAATACATAATTTAGAATAGGGAACGAGAAGTATAAATTATGGGTTCTAACCCCCTCTGCACCCTCCTCATTTCTTAAATCTCACCCTTTCTCCGTTAAAAATTTTTTAAAAAATTATAAATTATGATTAGTTTGGTACAATGGTCCTTCAAAATCTGGCAGATTTTGATCATTGCTACTAAACTTCGCTCAGCAAGGTGGTTTACTCAAATACGGCCCATTGAATTGTCATGAGTTAGATTTCCAATTGGATTTTATAAGGAAATGACTCTGCAAGGTTTTTTGAAACCCAACGGCAAAGCCCAATATATCAATGCTCATTCTTGAAACACATGTTGATCCATGTTTCTTCCAACTTTTGGAGCCTTACACTTTCTGAAAAATTTTTTTTTTTTGGATATAAATCACAGGTATCCATTCGTTTTACCGTCGCAATTAATTCTATTTGAATTAGGTCGGTCCTTTGCGGGAATAAACTCTCCCAACGTTATTTTTTTTTCATTCTCATGGGTTTAAAACTCGAGACCTCATAGTTAAAGGACGCAAGCCAGTATTTTGAAAATTAGATTAGATTGGCGAGTTCAACCTATTGAATCGCAAACCAACCATGCCTCCAGTCCGATTCAATGAATAATCCAAATAATTAATTGAACTGATCAAACTCGATCAAAAATCAGTTGAATCGGTAAAAATTGGAAGGCTCAACTGGTTTTTATTAAAATTTTATTTTATAAAATAAATATTTTAATTTTATTCAAAATTTTTAATGCTAAAATAAATACAAAAATTATTAAACCTTTGAATTGGAGTTAAATCAGTTGAGGCGTTCAAATGCAAACCGGAAGGTTTTTCGGTTCACTTTACGATCTAAATTTTAAAACATTGATGCAAGCCCCTTCCACTGCTATATCATTAAGCAGCTCGGTACTTGACATTTGCTCATCCTTCTTAGTATTTGATGTTCATAATTTGTTCTCAACTCAGATTATATTATAAAGACATTAAATAGTGATGATGAAACCTTTAATTTGACTCTCGAGTCATTTTCCTTCCCATTTTTCCATGTAAACCTTAGACTCTCTTTTAAATATATTTTTAAAAAAAATTTATAGTGAAATCACTCTCTCTTCTCCTTAAAAAAAAAAAACTAGTATACTTTTATAGTTTACAAGGCTGAAGAATCATACATATTGAATTTTATTTTTGACTTAATCATTCAAACCATTTGACGAAGATATCAAAATATATTACTTCCTCTGTCTAAAATTGTTTGTCAAATTTTGAAATTTCAACCCTTTAAGAATAGTAACTTGATAGTATATTTGTGAATTTGTTTTCAAAATTGCTCTCTAAAATTTAAAATTTAAAATTTGAATTTAGTATAAAATATAAATAAAGATGAGAATAACATAGAAAAAAAAAATCAAAAGTAACTTTGACTTTGATTGGATGACCAATGTTTTGAAACATTCTAAAATAAAAAATATTACACTTTCAATGAAACGGGGAGAATATTACTTATATTACTCTATGTTTTTGGAAAGTATAATCGTAATACCTTGCCAGTCGACTTAATGCATCGAACTAGCAAGCCGATATCCTTCACCTCGCCTAGGCCAAGTTTAATTCCCAAGGTTTGCCTTTGCCCACTCCTTTGAGGGCCCGAACAGTGGAAAAATAGCTAGGTTTTGTCTTGATATCATTTGCAGCCCCTAATTTTGGGAGCGGTACAATTATAATAGTTAAGTTTTTTTTTTTTTTGGGTAGATTCTGATTGGAGATACTACAAGACTCTTATAAATTGCAATCATGGTGATATATTAATTCTAAGCACTGATATCCATATTCCTTAAACTCGTAATATTGAGGATACTCGAGCAATTAACAGTGTATATTGAAGTTGCATACAATAAATACAAATTCTATTAAAGTTTTCCAAAATGGTAGAAGTTTTTATTTCTACTAATAGAGAAATTACACTATTCGAGCAAAGGCTCAAAAAACTTTCGACGAGATTGAAATACAAGAATTCCCACATTCTCAAGACGTATACTGTTCTTCCACTAGACTGCAGAAGATTAATGCCACATATGGGAAAAAAAAGGACAAAATTTCAACTCCAAATAAAGACAGACACTAACCCGCAAGGCCTATAAAATTAGAGACAAATGAAATTGTAGCTATTACTTAAACTGCCAAAAGGTGGAAAAGTTTTGAACTTTCTATCTTTGTTTAACTCCAGACATACTCATTAGAGACCTTTTCACGGACCACTTCTTGAGGCAAATTCCTCCCTTCATGGAATTCCTCCTTGTCGACAATGTTCGACTGCCTCACAGCCTCTAGTGTACCGATTAACTGGATGGTTCGGACGGCATTTTTCATCGAAATTGCCGCCCA